GGAAAGAGTTCTGTGTTATCTTTTAGTGGTAAGTAGGCTATTATGTTGTGTTGTACATTAGTTTCTTGTGACGATGCTGAATATGAGGGTACCACTAACCAGCATACTGAAAGTTATTTCTAAAGAACTAGTAACAATAGATATCCAATATGTTTGAGCACTTAATAAGTGTTACTGTATTTTTCTATTTTTTTAATTTTACAAATATGTTTATATTTAAAAATAGTAAAGGCAAACATGAATTTGGAATCTGTTCATTGGCATTTATAGTTTTAAAAAAAAGAAATTATTTTTTCAGTTTTCTCCACCCATTCTGTGTGAAGAAAGGGAGACCATGTACATCATCTCCTGAATTAGAGGAGAGAAACTGCTGTCTGGAAATGCTCGTCTCTCTCCACTGACTGCTCAGGAGTGTGAATGATTAGTTTATACTAAAGAGAACGAGATAAACTGCTTTCTAGAGGAATGCATTTGCTGCATTTCCGTTGGCTGCCAATAGATACTAGACAACTAGCTTACACTAAATAGCTAAATTTTAAGTAGCTAAAGACTGGCCAAGTAAATCCCAGTTTTCGTACCTTAAAATATATTTTCTCCCAAATAGTGTATGTTCTAATTATTTTTATTTAAGTTTTCTCATAAATATATTTAAAGAAGTGTTAAGCTGAAACAGTTTTCTAATAGAAAGTTAAATTTTAAGCATTATTGTGGTAGAAAAAGCACCTTATTCTGTAAATTCTGCATATATTTTTTCAGACAAATTTGTCTAAGCTGTAACTCTTTATTTCAGATGATTCATTCCGAACTCGTTCCACTGGTAATAATGGGAATACCACCTTTCCTTCCAGTTCCTCCCTCGCAACTTCTCGCAGTTCAGCTAACTCAGCTGACCAAAAGAACAATGGAAATAAAGAGAGTCAGTCACGAAAGATGAGCATGTAAGTGGATGACAAAAGGTTAGGTCAAGCTTATGGGATGCATCTTCAAAGGAACTTGTAAGAACCCTGTAAAATTAAGCCCATGTTTATATACTTCCACGCCCAGATTTTGAAATCTACAAGCAGTGGAGTAGAAATGTGATGTGTTCAGTTACAAGTATTTTTAAGATTGTTATGTTCCTTTTTAATTAGTCTTTCATATTCTATTTCCCCTGCATATGTTCAGATTCAGCTGGTACTTTATGGGGAGGGCAGAAGGGGACAAAGTAAAGGTTACTGCATTTGATATGCAGTAACTACAGTCACTGTGATTTATCTGCCCATAGTTGGAGAAATAGAAGGTATTTATTGTTAGATGATTTAGTTTTTCCTTTCCCTATGTTTATATATTTTTATGAATTACTATGTAGCAATTTCATGATGAATATTTGAGAGTTAAAATGAACTGCTAGTGCTGTTTTTTATTAAGGCTGCCTTCTTTGCCTTGTATTAAGCATTTAGATGAAAAAAGACTAATGCTAGCTGTCTACCTCAGGTTTGTTTTCTTTAAACATCAGCCTAAACTTTTCAATACTTTGCAAGAACCAAATGAAAGAAGCAATTTTTATCTGCTATGATAAAACTATAATAGTCTTTTCTAAGTTCATTCTGTGCAATGAATTTAGTCAAAACTCTATAGACTTTAGCAAGTAATTCCCTGCAGATCCTTTTTACACAATACCTTGTAGTCCTGAATTGCTGTCATTGGACTAGCTGTAATTTTGGGTGCCCAGGCTAAGGCTTTTTTTGTGTTCTCAGTGATTTGCTTGCTTAGCCAAGGTAGAATGGAGAAAGGAAAGGAGCCAGATATACCAAGAAAGGGAGGTTGTTTGGGAGAAGCAGACTTGAATGGAAAAAGAAACTAGAACTAGGAGCTGGAAAGGATGAGGAAATTTAAGCTGGGACTTAGGGGTCTGAGTAGGTAGGAAAGACTAGGAATGAAAAGAGAATACAGAATCTGAGGCTATGACTTGCTGGGTAAAGATGATGGAGCTGAGATGTATAGACTGGTACTAGATAGGGAAGAAGAAGGGCATGGCTCTGGTTTGCCTGGTATGAAGAGGAAACAACAGTGACAGTTATACCTGTTCAATGGTTCTTTCTAATGACTTAAGTAAGTATCTGTGTGAACTCATGTTTTCCACTTCAATGTTTTCAGGTTCCTTTAAAAAATAAAAATAAAAAAATAAAAAAAAAGCCACAATACTTACTAAATCGTAAAATCAAACACTTAAAAGTTTAAAAAAAAAAAAAAATCAAAATTTCCCTGAAGAGCTTGCATTCAGCCACCTGTATACATTACATCATGATGCAGTCTCTTGCTATGTGGTTGCAAGGTTTTCTTTTGTTTTGTTTTTTAACTGGAGTTTTACCATCTTCACTGTAAAAGAGAAATTTGTTCTGGAAAGAAATCAAGCTTGCATAGTAACCTGTTGTTTGTAAAACTATACATCCTTTGTGGCAAAAGCTGGATGGTGAGTAGTGAGTGAAAGTGGACTATATGTGGTGAATCAGTGGTTTCACATCTTAGTGCTCTAAGCTCCCTGTCAAACTGCACTCTATCTCTATCTTTGCCAGAGTCTAATGCATTCTAAGTGCTACCAACAAACTTATTTCAGACTGGTCATAGTTGATCATTAGGTGGCATTCATTTCAAAGTAATTGACTTCAGATTAATTAGATAATACGTGCTGAACGCTTACAAAAGTAATATAAGTAAATGGGAAATATGCCTTGAATACATAAAATGACATACAATGCTGCAAAAAAAAATTGAAAAATTAGATCCTCAAAAACTTATGTGACTTCATCCTAATGACTGTGTTCCTCTGTTCACTCTCTTTGAAACCAGAAAAATAGATTAAATTTTGTGACTTTTTTTGTAGCTGCCGTTGTAGCAATTCTGATTATTCATCCATCTCACAAGGATTTTGGGCAATTAAATTGATTAATATGCATAAAGCAGTCAGATACAAAGATTAATGAGACATTTTATTCCATTTCATAGAACTTCTCTGAATTTCAAAGTTTTTTCCATCTGTTAGTTAAAATGAAACTGATATCTTTTGTTTGAATACAAAGGGACAGAAAGAAGACTCGGACCGAACCATCTATACCTTTGGCTTCAGGCAGGAGGGTGGAATGTAGGAGACTCAGCTTCAAGTGTCTGTGTAATATTCCCAAATGAATACTTTAACAGCAGGCTATTTGAAAGTTGATATCTGATTAAACACAATGATCTAGATGCTCTCTCTAGTTCAGAAAATCCCTAAACTGTGTAGTGTCAGAAGCCAAGAAGATATACTAGAGGAAGAAAAACATTTTCGGAGAAAGAGCAGCAGCTTTAAGATGACCTATATTTGGCTTTGAAAATAAGAGCTTTAACGTTCTGTGTTCTTACAGGAAAACATATCTCCCAAGTTGACATATTGCCTATTGCACTGTAAATTCCATTTCTCTTTTGTGATCTGGCCCCATACTTAATAGTTTTTTATAAAAAAAAAAAAAAAAAAAACTGGAGCAGCTCTACAAGGAGATACCAAGAGATACTGATTTTAGGAATGGTTAGTGGCGAATACATTCATCTGCATGTTCTTTTTGACTACAAATATAGTTTGTTGTACCTCTTTCTATCTTTCTTTTGATCAGAAAATCAATCCTGGCTTTGAAAAGCTTTGCTTGGCTAAAACTTTCCTGAAATTCATATGTCCTCACCAAAAAAAAAAAAAAAAAAAAAAAAGAAAAAACCAACCAACCAAAAAAAGCAGCTTCAGCACAACTTCAGTGAGTGAGCTGAGTGAAAGAAAAACCCAATATCAAAATATACAAGCAGTTGACAGTTACAACTCTTATTGAGAGAAAAATTTGAAAATTATACAAGAAATGTGACCTGAAACTCTCATTGAAAATCCAAGAGGTGATGTTGAATAGATGCTTGTGAATGAATGTCACCTTTTCTATGCATTCAGTAAGGCAGGAAGCTTGTGAAAAAATTATTGAGCATGTATTTAGATTATATCAACATGTAAACTTAGGTATGTGCTGATTAAACATTGTACTGACCATCCAAATTCTGACAAGTCATAGCTTTTAATTAACTGGCTTTACAACATGAATAAGATAACTTCTAATGTGATTTTCTACGTAATAATGTGTCTGTAAATACTGGAAGATTGGACAGTAATATGTCATTTAATAACTAAGTAGTAATAACAGATATAATTAATGATTTGTAGTTCAAAGTGATGTTTTGACCAAATAGTAGTTAATTGCCTAAATCTCTTTTTTCCCCCCCCCATAAAACTGCTCTGGTGCATATGCACATTTGTTCACATTTGACAGTGTAATGCAGCTTATAGGGATGAACTTTTTTATTTTTCATATATTCATGCTGTCCCAGGAACTTTCCAAAAACCTAAGTAAATTTGGTGCAGAACTGAGGTTTTACATACTGTATTCATGAGTTCAGACATGTTGTTTGTCCTGTGTGAGAGATGTGTGTGAAGATCAGAGTATTCCCTCATTTTTAAAATAATACATATGTCAGAAAAACAATTCTCAATAAAGCCTGATTCAGTGCTCACAAGGAGATAACAGGAGAAACCATTAGCTTTGGTGTAGTTTAATAGGCTTTACGTAATACTCAGGGGAAAAAAAAAAAAAACATTGCAGGATTTATGCTGAAGTTGCACCCTTATAACTTAGTGATGTAATTACAGAAGAGATGAGCGTCTGATTTTAAGCACATTATGGAATATGAAAGAATCAAAAAGAGCATTGGTTAAGTATTTCAGCGCACAAGAGACCTTACTTAAGTCAATTTGCAGAGAAAACGTGCTCTTCTGAAGAGCTGATGGTGTTAGACCATGGATCATTGTGTGCAGAAACTGACAAGATTCGTAAACATGAAGAGTTTCATAAAGTGGTCCAATCTTGCATTGTTATGCCATTTAGCTTTATTATGTTCTTTTATGTTTTCATTTTTAAGAGATTAAGTTTGGGATTAGAATTACTATTTTCCTTGAGTTTACATTACTGTAATATAACTGATTCCAGTATGCAATTGGTAAAAAGCCAGCAGTTTTCTATACTTTGTAGGTTCATCAATAAAAATGCCCAGCTTTATAGACAGACAGCATTTAAGAATTTTGCATCTTGTCTACAGACATACAGATAATGCCTGATTTTTTCCCTTTTGATCAAAACAATGTAAGTTAACTTCAAGAATGAGGCGTTCCATCCTGTAAAAAGTGGGAGGAGATTTAATGTGGCATTGAAATCATAATGATATAATTAGTACCAATATTTTATAATATGGTCACAAGTGAGCTTTAATACATCCATGTTGAAGTGTGAGCATGTTGTAACAATGATTTGCGTTAGTATCTTTAAATAGTGTCTTTCGTCCAGTCATATAATTGCTTAGGAAGTTGAGCACAAGATGAGATAGTTCTGCCACAGATCTGCTACACTTTGACTTGGTTACTTAAGGTCCTAATCATGTTTTCCTCCTGCCATTTAAGCTGGTAAGAGTTCTGAAGTTCAGTGGGAATGGAGTGTGATTTGGGTCCCATTTCCAAGGTGAAGCTAACAGATGTCTTGTTGCTGATATATTACCACAGCAGGTTCCATCAGCAGTTTTTAAAGGGTGAAACAGAACAGTATCTTCCTTTGTAAATCATGTTCTAAAATATTTATGAAAACCAGTATTTCCACGGAGTTCTGAAAGTAAGTGTTGTTCTTCTAAAGATGTCTGACCATTACAAACATTGGTTAGCTGATGGCCACAAGTCTGCAAAGCTAAGAACAGCATTTCTAAAGATTAAAAGATTAAGGCTATGATAAGTGCAGAAATTGCCCAGATCACATTATAGTCTGTAGAAGACCTAGAAATAACACTGTAAGGACCTGTAAACTTTTCTCTCTCTTCCCCTTCTCCGCTTTCCCAGGATTTTGTCATTTTTCACCATGAGTCAGGCTGGATACTTGTGGAATTATTTGTAGCTATGACTAGACTGCTTCTAGTACCTTAGCTATCCCACTTAGGGGGATCTCTGCATTACTTTGAAGTCCACCTTCTGCAGCAAACTTGCTGGAGAAATGCACCTTTCTATAAAGGATGCCCTCAAGATGTGTCCATTGGCTTTTTCAGTGGGTGCAGTAGAGCAGCAAGCAATTTTTGAAGTAGAGCAGCTAACTTTTACATTAAAATGTTGCACACAATAGCACTTTATTATGATTTTTTACTTAATAATGTAGCAACAACATATTGTATGTGTTTCTTCTTTTGTATGAAGAAAAAACAGAAAATCAAACCCTTAGATCTTCTGAGAGAAAAAGGAGGAAACCAAAGACTGTTGGAAGCAATGTTCTTGTGCGATAAGTCAGGAGCAGCAGATGGGGACTCTATAATGCCCGGAGTGACTAAATGCATCTTGCAATGTTAAAACCTTTACCTTTTAAATAAAATCCTAAGTTGTAAAATATGTTCATATAAATAATGTAATGATTGTAGAATTCCAATGTTGTAGTGAAGTGTTATGAAATACAACTTTAGCAATGTGCTCTTAACTAATGCAGCTATGGAGACTTTTTTTTTCTTCAATTATGCCTTTGTAGTTCAAATTCCTGGATTTAGAATACATGTATCCATTACTTAACTGGACTTATTTACAATTTTAGCAGTTCTTAGCATCCATGTTTAGTGCAAGAAATAAAATGGTTACAAATATGAAAAAGTAATCCCACATTTTAAAGAAGCATCAAATCTAATTTAAGACCAAAATTCAGAACAACTGATCAGGCTAAGAAAACAAACTTTGTTAGCATTCTGCTGTGCATTTGAAGGTAATGTTTTTACAAGTACTAAGCGAAGTTCATAAAAAATCCCATATAAATTTCAACATAATCTGAAAGCAGATATCTCCAGATGATATTTAAAAAGTTTTATTTCATGAGTTTTGTTGTATAAATACTCGTTTTAATTTTTGGCATTTCAGATTGCATTTTCACTTTAATAATTTATAATGATGACTCTAGTTTTTAATTAGCTGTTATGGCAAGCTATCATGCTTCAGCGATGTCATTTGCATTTGTTTGTATTAAGGCTAATGTTTCTAGCAAAATTTGTTTGTGGAAAAACATGCATTCTATTTTAAGAAGTTCTATTTATGCCAATACTTGAGAAAGAGCCTATGAAGCTCTTGTTAGCTTCTCTATTTCAGAATGAAAGCAGCATAACTATATTGATATCAGAAATATCTGTTTTTTAAATCTATTTGGTGTATGATAAAGGTGATCTGGTTTGTGAATGCATATGCGTGTGTGGTTACTTTTTACAATGTAAAAAAAGAATGATTAATTTACTCAGAATAAAACCTAGGACAATGCTGTACATGCATGTTCTTGAAAATATTTTTCTCGGTCATATTTTATAAAGAAAAATAAAGACATTTACTTACAAAAGATATTTCTTTTAAATAATGCTAGATTTATGCTGTCTTGTATGAAGTACAAAATGTGTCTTTGGGTCTAGCATTGTTTTACTCTCTGAATTGTTTATCTTCTTACACTGTGGTTGGATTTCGGTGTAGTTTCTGTTCACAGGCGTTGTTTGGATTCTGTGGAAACACGTTTTCAGTGTTTATTCTGCAGCTTGGCATAGGATCTTGTAAATCACAGATTTCTTTAAAAGCATCTTTGAGTATTGATTTTTTTTGACATGCAGTATTGATGCAGATATACAAACCTCCTATACTGGCTCTTTCCATGTTTAGTTTTTTTGTCTCTTTAATGAAAACACATACTTTCCGATTCCCTAGGGACAACTGACTCAATATACCAGGTACAGTGGCTCACCCATGAGCCACAAGAGTGTGCGTAGTCTGTTCTCAGTCCTGCGTAGTCTGTTCTCAGTCCTGTTTCTTCCAGGGACCAAGCTCGATCAGTACCCAGCCACAGAACAGGACTCAAAATTGTGTTTGGCACTCGGGTGCCTTTATTACAGTAACTTAAAACAGTTAGCAAGTTCAGAAACTTGAATCCAAGCCCTTTATAAGCATGTGAGGAGTTCTGTATACAGTCTGTCATTCATTTCTTATTGGTTGTCATTTGTCTATCATTTTTTAACTGATCAATGTATTTAATGCTAAATACACTCGCTAATCCTAGCCATGTATTAAATTCATGCTATGTATTTTTTAAAAGTTCTATTTAGACATTTCTTGGTCTACACGTCTTCCTTGTACAGTGCTCCTGGTGTCTTATATAGCCTTTCGCCAGTCTTTTGCACTACATACCTCCAGTCCCATAGACTTTTACCTGGCTGCTGCTTATTTGCATCCTAATTCTGTTGGACAGCAACAGTACTTTTGAAGCCTTCATAGCATTATTTTTACTTGCAACTCAGAATAACAGCTGGAGATCAACTGTACAATGTTAATTTTGTAGTTCTCTCTAAAGATATTCCTCCTATTAATGATTCTTTGGCAGGACGAATGATTCTTCTCTTTCTCTTTGGTACAGTCATGCTGCAATCTGGAGTTAGGTTAGAGGCACCTTAGTAGTCTGCTCTGATGCCAGAACCTGCCTGGTAAATGCTTTTGTGACTGGCTTGCACTCTGTCTGGGTTGCTATGAGTAAATTTCTAGTGGTAACTGAGGTTGTTATTTTAGAGCTGGTGACGTTTTATCAACTTTACACTGTAATGCAAATATATTTTCTCTGGGCCTTGTGAAAGTTCTTCTCTTGTGGATTCACTTGGCTGCGTTTGCAGATACCTTTGAAGCTTCTATGCCAACTGATTTTGGAAACTCTTCTGCCCCCTTTCGGGAAGCTGTTTTATGAAAGCTGCATAAGCAAGCAGAATAATGCTTAAATCTTTTAGTTACATAGTCAGAAGTAGCTTTTTGCATTGTTTCAAACTTAATATAGGACCCTATTTTTTAATTAAAATTTACTAAAGGTTAAAAAAAATGATATCTTCTTTTTTTAAAAGTGGTGTGGAAATCCCTGCACTGTTTGGATAAGGTGAATTATATGTAGTTATTAGAAATATTTATCTGAAACATTTTGGAATTAGCTTTCTTATTTCAGGATCAACTCTGTGAATAGATTTATTCCCCTTTTGTGGAGGCATATTTTTTTCCTACCGAAGTCTGTCAGCTTTTAGGGTGGAGTCCTGTTATATAGTTCTCCCTGGTATCTAAATGAAAATACATGTGGAAATTGTATTTCTAGAGAGGCCCAGCTTGGTGTTACGAAGTAGTACAGGTTCACATTTTCCAGGTAGAGAATACCTAAATTGTTTTTCAGAAATATTTTACCTTTAGTAGAAAGGATGTTTTAAAAGCAAGCACATCAGGTAATAAAATAAAGTTCTCCAGACAGAGACTGCAAATTCTGTTTTAGGGCTTGACCTAGCTTCTGTTTCATAAATGCCAAAAGTCTGCTAACATTGATGTCAGTAGGCTTTTAATTGTCATTGCAACAGAAAATAACATTGAGGAATATCAAACAGCAGTGTTTGGGTATGAGCACCTTGACTTTTGGGGCATATGCATCTTTGATTTTCATTCATACTGAAAGATCATTTCTGTGGTTTGTTTAAATGTTCATAGTAGGTTTTACAAGACACTTTTTGATAGTTCACTTTCTGATTCCACTAAAAATAAATGCAAACCTCTTAGGAATTGTTGTTTACGTTTTGATTCTTTTTTCTTCAAGGATCTATTTTTCACTTAAATATTTACGTGAAAAGTGATGGATTCCTTTTCCAGTAGGGAACTAAATGTATAAAAGATGAATGCATTTGAACTCTGACATTTTACTGAGCTTCCATGTATAGATACAATACCTATACATGATTTAGTACAATATTTTAAATTCACCCCAGAATCTAATTTTAAGCTTATTCGTAGATAGCTCCTAGCAGGGACTTCAGGAAACTCAGAAAATAACTTGTAACTTTTGAACAGATTTCTGTCACTTAGTATCTTAGTGAAGCAAGCCTGTGACTTGGGCATTATTAAAATGTTAAGAGGAGGACCTTCTGCTAGTTTATGATGCAAAAAAGCTTTTCACATTTTCATGTTTCACTATCTTTTTGTTCTAATGTAAATTAAATTTTGAAGAAAATAATGGAATAGAAACTATTACCTTTGTTCATAATTCTGTTGGATCAACTACCCTACCCATGAACAGTAACGTTTTATAAGTTTCTTCAAAAATCATAAAAAGGAATGGTCGATCCACTTTAATGACAGGAGGTACTGAGAATGCAGTTACTTCTGACCCAGATGCTGCTGTTGCCTCAGTTCCTTTTTCATCCACTTCAATTGCTGCCTTTTGGACAACCTGAAATGCAATATAGAAATGATATAAATGGCAGAAATAAATGCTAACATGAAGAATATTTTTCAAAGTGCCAGACGTTCAGCTGAAGTAGGCCTCTATTAAGGATTAAAATAGGCAGGTCTGTGCAGTCTAGCACTGTCTGTTACAGGTAGACCCATGTACTATCTACTTCAGAAGCAGAAGAGTTGATACAGCTGTATGACCACAATACTTACAGCACAGATGCTAATTCAGGTATCATTGTGATTTTTTTCCATGTTTCTGAGCATAGGCATCACTTAGAAGTGCTATTCTTGCGGCTGGTAACATGAAGCAAGCATTGCACTTACATGGTGTTCCTCTTTTATATCTAGCATGCACTCCTAAGTCCCTCCCAGAGAGAGAAATTTTCTCAGTAGTGGGAGGTGCATTTTAATTAATTACAAACACTGAATGGCTGGATATGGTATTCACCACTTATTCTGGGACAGCTTAGGTAAATGCATCAGTCTTAATTTTCTAATATATATGTGTATGTATATATGTATATTTCTAATTCTTACATTAGTATGTAGCGCTATGGAGTACAATCCTGGTTTGGGCTGAGGACCTTCCTTTCTGACAGAAATCACTCTGAGACAGCCTGGTAAGGTCAGATTCTTTTCCCTTTTTGTTCTTTTAGCCTGCATATGTCTCTGAGCACATCCCCTGTATCTCGGTCTCTATTGGTGAACTGCCTGGTCAGCTAATGGATTCCTAACTCCGGAACTCTTAGTTCTAGAAATGACTTTATGTCAAGACACTTGAAGGACTTAACAGTGTCAAGCTCTCTGCTAAAAATGCTTAAGTAATAAAGCAGGCTAACATGATTCACAAGTAAAGGATGTTCCTCTGACGCTTTGTCAGCTGATGCATATATTGCTTCTAATATCAGTTAGCAGGTCATGTTGAAGTGTGATTGATTTGCACTATCAGAATCAACTGTTGAGAAACAGCAAAGAATATATATAATATAAAGAATATAAATAAAAGGGAAGGGAGAAAAGTGCTGCAGATTGCTGTTGTACTTTCTAGAAGTTTATACTAAGCTGAACGTCACTACAGTGTTACGCTTTTGATGTTTTTCCTTAGGGTGTTATATTTTCTCAGAAAGGTAATTTTTTTTTTTAAGATTACATAACTAGCACAATTTTGAACAACTCTTGTTGAAGGTTTAGAGTTTTTTGAAGTGTATGTAAAACTCTTTATGACACCACCTATTAGCAGTTTTGACAAATGACAATCAAAGTGTTTTGTAATAAGCTAGTGTAGGGAGACTTGTCGCAACAGCAGCAGTAGCTTAGAAGTGCCCTTTCTGATAGAAAGTTTCTCCCAGAGTTTTGGTCCTAGGTTATCAGCCCTACTCTGTCATTTACAATGACTATCATTTACAGTGCTTTTCTTGTTCAGTTTTTGTTTAACTTTTTTTCCCTTCTCTGTAAACAATGTGCTTCTTGAGGCAAGACTTTCTTCCTGTGATGGGCTAGTTTAAGAAAGGTTTTGAGGACATACGAAATGTAACTGCCTCTTAGTTATGCGCACCTCATCCTTCAAGTGGGATCCATACTGTGCTTCAAGTGTGTAGATTCCATACACTTTGCAGTGGAAGTCTTTTCCTAATAGTGTCACTGTATCTTTATGCGACATATTTTTTTGGTTGGGTCTATTAGACACTATTACAAGCCAAAGAGCAAATAATTTTAAAAAGCTTACCTGTGAGACTTTTATGTATCCTTGATCTGTGAGATGACTAAGATCTGCGGTACGTGCAAAGAGATTTTTAATTCCTAGAGCATGGAGCAATTTCTTCATTTCGTATTTTTGTTCCAGTTTGAACTTTGGAAATGAAATATCCACTTTTCTGTTTAAAAAAAAAAAAGGCAACAAAATCTTAGATTGTGTAGCAAATCACTTTAGTGCTGAATGCCGACTACTTAGGGATTAAAATTTACCTAAATGTCCTCCACATGGGGCAAAAACTGAAGAGTCTCTGCTGGAATTTAGATTGGCAGACTATCATCTCTGACTTGTCGATTGCCAAAGATGCTAGAAATCATTTTCTTCTTTCTATATTTCTACCAGCACTTCCAGTGCCCTGATACCAGGGCACACAGTAGTTCATTGACCAGTGGAAAGAGTTGTCACTTCAGGAATCACATTTCACAGGAATAATTTATTTTTACATTTGCATGTTTAAAGTTATCCTATTAAACTGAGGTTTCCACTGGTAGGAAAGGTTTCATAAATACACTGGTTTATTTTGTAGTTTGCCTGGAAGTGCCCAATTTAGGGAGAGTTAGGGCCTAAGGAAGAATTTGGAAAGACTAAATTGACTATGGCCTCAGAGAGACAGACATTTCTTACTGAGATGAATCACAGACGTAAGTGATGAGCTCATAGTAGAAGCTTTCATACCACAGTTGCTCATAGATGTGGGCAGGTCATAAAGTGGCCTCTCCTCTGTAGGTACTTTAATGCCACAGAAATGCTAGCATATTAAACGAGTTAGGAAAACCAGCTAATCTTTATTTTACTTTCTTGCTTTGCTGCAATGCACATAAAAGACATTAAAGCTAACAGATGTCAAACAAGAAGCAATACCTGGTCTTCATACTTCTAAGCCATGCTTCAACAAGCTCTGTTGTCAAGTGGTCTTCAAGTGAAATGTAATCTGCCTCCTTTTCTGGAATGGCAACCAGCATGTGGGCTTTCCCTTGGTAGGGAAGCTTGATCACATTGCATCTTAAATTCTCATCAAAAGTTGAGGTAACTTTATCTGACTTGAACATCATGGGTACCTGTACACTTCTGTATTTGTTTATATGGAAAGTCTCAATTTCTGTGAATTTAGCATTAAATGGATAGAGCCATTTGCCTGAGAAAAGAAAGAAGGGAGATAGTTATGTGCATTCAGACTTAACTCAACAATTTTCAGAAGCCCTTTAAAAACGCATAGAATCCTTTTCGTAGCTAGTTGAAGTGATTATCACAGAATCACAGAATCGTTTAGGTTGGAAGGGACCTCTGGAGAGCATCTAGTCCAACCTCCCTGTCAAGCAGGGTCCTCCAGAGCGTATTTCCCAGGATCACGTCCAGACGGGTTTGGAATATCTCCAGGGAAGGAGACTCCACTACCTCTGTGGGCAACCTGTTCCAGTGCTCAGTCACCCTCACAGTGAAGAAGTTTTTTCTCAGGTTTAGGTGGAACTTCCTGTGTTTCAGTTTGTGCCCGTTGCCTCTTGTCCTGTTGCTGGGCACCACAGAGATCAGTTGTGTTTGGGGTAAGTGGATGACAACTGCAGTATATTTATGCCTATATATTTAATGCATATATACATTCCCTTTTTACAGCAGGAAAAAACAGTAATGCACAAAATAAACTACTTCATTTGCCGAGGAAAGGAGGAAAATCTCTTTTCTAAGGCTGATTAGTTGCCAGTCAAGTTCAGAATTGATACTCCTTTTGTTTATTGAATGCCATATGAACATCTGTCTTTTATTAACATGCCACCTTATCTGAAAATCTCTACCAGCTGTTCAACATCCTGTTTTTAAAATAATTGTACAAGCTTTTGCAGGGGAATTGAGCAGTGCACTGTCTTATAAGGTGCTCTGGAATGTGACCTCTTCTGCATTAATGATAATGATCTGTAAGTTTACTTTCAAACTCAGCCACAGCCATTTATCTGTCTTCTCTGATTTTCTGCCAGGGAAAGGAACCTTGGCATTGATCAAACTACATATTTGTAAATCCAAAAGAATAAATTTCATCCCTAGGGAGGCTGTATGGCTATGCAGTAATTTTCTTTGTTCTCACGTGTGTGTTTATTTTGGCAGAATTTCCTTGGCTGGCATCTCCTGACTTCCTTGGACTACTTCCTCGCATAGTGGCTGTGATTGTGGGTTCTTTGCACAGCATTTCTCTTTTCCCCTTTGTCATTCTAGTCCTTCATCTTTACTTTTCACCTGACTAGGTGTTGCCAGTTTCTGTATGGCTATCTGTTTTGGAGTCAAATGTGAGGTGTCGCTCCTTGCCATAAGTAGGACCTCCTTAATGAATCCCTTGTCTATCTGCTAAGCCAGTGATCAAAGAAACCAACAGCAGGAAGAAGGGCATAACATATTTGGCGCAAGAGGACCCCCATCCACAGAAAACACCCTGCATGTCATGGCTGTTTCTTTCCCTGAAAGTGTAGATGATTTGGAGTTCCCTATTATAAAAAAGTCATTTACTATTAGATAAACATAATAGAAGAGGAGGAGAGTAAATCTTAATGGAGTTGGAGGCAAAACAGGATATCTGAATTCATTTAAATTTCCTCTAATGTAACTGAAGTCAGAGTGCTGTTTCTACTCATAAATAATCGTTTTGCAAAATCAGTAGTTACCTTTAAAGAAAATGTAGTCCACAAGTAGTAGTTTATTATGGCGGTCAAGATTTTCAAAAAGCTCTGGGATTTTTCCTTTGGTCCTTTTGTTAATATTTTGATTTATAACAAATTTTGCCTGTGTAATGTTTTGAAAGTCCACACTCAGAAATTCCATATCAAAGTAATGCTTAGATAAATTGAGGAAAGACTGCCTGAGTCTGAAGCCCTTTTGGATAAAAGAAAGTGTACCTTGCACAAGTAGTAGTTCTTCATTCATTGTGATATTATCTTTCAGTTGTTTAAACAAGGCTGGTAAATAATGTCGATTCTCTCTGTCCTTCAAAGTGTGGAGGTTTAGGCCTTTTACAATTTGGCTGTGTGTTTCCCCTTTGGCTGCAAACATATATGTAGCCATAAGAGCTGATACAGAGAGGGGAGAGAAGACTACATTTTTGTCATGTGTCATTGCAATTTTTCGATAGAGATTAAATCCAAAATTTGCAGTTTTTTCAGTGAAGTTATAAAGAGTGAACTCTTCAGGGAATTGCTTTTCAAAAGGTTTAGGGACGTTTTCATGCGGATCCCACTCCTCAGAAATATTGACATTTTTATTTCTTGGTAAGAAATTCTCCTCCTCCTTTGGAATTTTAGGTTTGGTGTCGGCCTTGCTGATTTCAACACATACTTCACATAAAAAAAGTAGATAAATTCCTGTTTTCATGTTGGTATCCAGTAATGAGCTTTTTTCCTAGTAAAGAGAATGGGGGAAAAAAAGCAACACCGTCAATGACTTTTAAAGTTTTTGGTTTGTTCTTTAGTTTACAATGCAAAAGGTCATGGAGGTAGCAAGGTGGTCTTTCTGCCTCTTCAGTGTAGACACTGTAAGACCTAGTTCTTACTTAAATAGTCAAATGTAAATCAGTGGAAGAGAGAAGTTTCCAACATTAGTAAGTGAATCCAAAAAAAACATTGTGATCTTCTACACAGAGCCGTATGCCATAAGTAGTTAATTTCAGAAGAATTTCACTGAGTTTCCTGTTCTAACTTGTAATTGTATAACAAAATCAAAATCAGATTTTCAAGTAAGATATCCATCTCAAAGATGGGGAATCTATTTGTTGGACACATGTAGCACCTTCCACTCCATGTGAGAATGTCCTCTGTAAACACAAGATCTCTAGGCAAACTGTGTTGGAAAATAACGTTTTCTGTGGAGAGCTCCAAAACAGGCTGTTCCTAGAAAATGCAGATGGTGATATGTTGAGGAACTGAGACACCTGTAGCTCCCCTTTACCACTTTGTTGGCACTGGTGGTTGCATTGTGTTCCATCTATGTTACTTTTCTTAGTCACGATTGCACATTCTCATGGGCTCCATCTATTCCTTCATAATGGTTGCAGCCTGCCAGACTCAAGTAGTTCCCGTCTCTTTTCCAGAAATACTTCTCTCTAGTATTTGTTAACGTTCCTGGTTTTATATTAATGGTATGCCATATCCACAAGATTCAACTCAGCTCCTTAGAAAAAAACGCTTAAGCACAGAAACTACCTGATTTTTGAGTATGATAATTGCCAACACAGAAAACAACCTACTTTTTGAGAGTTAAAGTACTTTATGTTAAAAATTATCTTTTTAAAACAGAGTTAAATATCTGTTCATTTTATACAAAAGTCAAACTATAGCCACTAGGTTTTGTTCCAGAAATGATAAATTCCAAGAGCCAGGCAGAAAAATATTCTTTAAATATTTAAATATTTTTGAAAAAAATATTTCAGAAGTGACTTGGAGAATGCAAGAGTTCTGCACTGCAAATTACTTTTGGAAACTTTGAAGGACTGAGTTTTACTGTGTACCTTATGCCTTATTTTCCCAGAAGGAATGCTCTAGAATAATATATTTTTCTAACCATGTAGAAAATTAAAATCAGACAAAGACAGTCTGTCTTTGAAAAAGACTGTCTTAAGCCAAACTCATCAGAATAAATCAGGATCAGCTCCACTGACATATAGTTTGTATAAAGCTGGACTAGGGCAATGCCAAACCTGTGCACCTGTGCCTATGAGCCTTTTACACAGTCATTCTTCTAAGTAAGTGAAAAGAAAGTCTTGTTTTGAGATAAGCTAGCCATAGCATAATAGGAGGCTCCATAGTAATGACACTTAATAAAGCTGAGCAGTTTTTCACATATGTGAAGGAAAAGAGAGATCGTAATGTTAATGTGGCAGCAGAAGCTCTTACCTTGCCAAGTAAATAAATCTTTTCCAGAACATTGACTGTTGTTGTAAGATTAGTGTGCTCTAAGGAACTCAGAGTTGAGTGCTTTTATACTGTCTTTTGCTCTTCGATTCACTTACGAAAAAGTTGCATTTGGGGAAAAATGAGAGATATTCCTGATTTTAATGATATCTGTAATAATACCTCTTGTCCTGTCAAATTTTTCCCTAATATATTGCATTCATAGACTGCTGAAGAATTGAATTTCAGATATTGTCATGAAAAGAATAAAACAACTATCTTGTTCATGTTTAGTAGCAATAAAACATCTGGGGCTTTGTGTATAAGCAACTGATGAAGTATTTCTGCAAATGTGAAGGAGCGTACTGTTGTGAGCCTGGAGAAACGGGAAGAATTTAGGCACAGGAAATTTCTGTCAGTGAGCCTGATTGGTGGTCTGCTGCCAAAAATAACATCAGAAAGGTCAAAGTTCTGTAGGAGCCTAGATAAATATTACTAAGACGTACTAGGTTTTGTACAAAGTAAAACGTGCAAACATTGAGGCTGATGCCATGCCCAGCCCCTTTTAACTGGATTTCCTGTTGGTACCATCCTAATATGTGGCTGGATCAACAGGGACAGCCTCTAGCTCAACGGGAGAGCAAGTCTGAAGTTCTAACTTCAGTACCTACATAGAGCAAGGTGCTGTACCTGTTACTGTGCTCTTGTCAAGAGCCTGGTTGATATAACTTTTTCTAGTAAGTCCACGTGAATTTCTGCATTACTGCCTATACTTACCAAACCCTGAAAAGTTTATGAGACCCAGGACAGAAAATACATATCATGATATATTTTAATAAGTAATGATATATACATGGTCAATATCATTATAAGGAATGCTTGCCCTTTATCATTTAATTTCTCTGTTCATCCTTCTGATATGCATTGTTTATTATTCCATGTAGATCATTCTCCTGACGTCTTTTATACTTCACTGTTCAGCAAATGTTGAAGCAGGCTTGTCAGTGCCATCTCCTAACTGAAAATGCCATGTTTCAATGTCAAATAGCATGAGGGTGAGACAGTTTTTCTGTGCATAAAAAATAAAATATTTTAAACAAGTTGTCGTTTTTGAGCACAATTAATACAAGGTCTGATCTGTCCAACCAAACCTTCGGAGAGAACGGGACACATTTTCCAGAAGGCCTTAGGCAAACTTTAGCATCGAACTTTGCTTGTGTAAATTTGCACATGCAGATGCAAATTTCCAGCATAAACTGCAAAGGTGCTCATCCTTCTCTTCTACAGAGCCAGCTATGCTTTAAGCAAGGCCTTGAGATATTATACAAAAATAGTAGGTGAAACATTAAAAAGCAATATATGAATTTCTCTCCTGTACAGAATAGTGTACAATTTCACCTTGCGGAAAAGTCTTGAATGGCCATAATTTCTGGAGAGGCATTTTCCCATTGTAAATTAAACAGGATGTTCAAGACCACCAAGCCTGCAAGTAACCCTTGAGATGGAAAGATGGATTGTATGGACCATCGTTAAAGTAGTAAGTGATCCAACTATCTAGAAAACACAGGGCAACTATTAGCTACTCCTTTCTAGTTAAGGTTCTGAAACAGCAAATTATGATCACTGTATAATTTATGATTTGGCATATGGGAAACCTGGCTTAATTTGATTGCCATTTACTTAGAGGTCAGCTGAATTTCACAGTTGCCTGACTCAGACTGTCGGAGTTAGTCCTGAAAAAGTACATTGATATAAGTATTGAGACAGTTGGATGCCAAGTCACAGGGTGCGTTTGGCTGTCAGGTGGTGTGATATTTTCTTTTGAAATAATAGGTCACGTTCTGTACTAGGTGTAAAACAGATGGGCTGTAAGGACTTAATGAAGAGACAGTGAAATCCTTGAATATTATGCCTCCTCTCAAGTGCATGTCAGCCAGGGAACATAGTAAAATATGCAGTTTACTACAGTTGTGAATATTTTTTTCCTTTAACTCTTGCTTTATTTTCAGTGAGATTCCCAATGTCCTTACTGGCTGAAGATGCAGGTCATGGAAACCTTCATACTTGTTTATCCTGCATTTGAGGTAATCTCCAAATCTATCTTGACAACACAATTCTCTCAGCTCCATACAGTGGCCGCACCGCTCAGCTCTTGTGCAGGGGTCTTTGTGGCACCTGAGAGGGCTGGAGCAGGCAAGGGGTTGACTTGAATTCAGCTCCTGCCTCACTGGCCAAATGATGCGCCAACAAAATCTGCAGGGTTGGGGTAGTTATTCTCCCCTTGTCTGACAGCATAACAGAGCAGGTAAGAGCTGTTAACAGAAACTGCAAGGCACCACTGCTCCTTAGGTACCTGCTTCTGTGAAAAGGGACTGCTGTGCTGCTTCTGTCACAGTCCTGTGCCTGCCCCAGCCACAAATGACCTCCTCCAGATCTGGAGACATGGAGGGGGAGGGAGGGGGTTGGTTCAGGGAGTCGTCCCTCCTTCAAAGAGGTGTTTCTGGACAAAGGCAGAGTCAGCTTTAGCAAAGACAGGGACTGGGAAATTTTGCCTTTGATAGTAATCAGTTATGCAGGAAGTGCTTGCTCCAATAGCTAGAGTCCTCCTGACAGAACATTGGGTCTAACTGCTTAATAGACATGGCAGAGCTTTTTCCTTCCTTGCTGTGGATAGTGCAATTGCTCTGCAGTATGTGACAGTGTTGCATTTGGCAGATGTCACTGTTGCAGCTCTTTTTGAGAGGTCTAGGTACTTGGCTCAGGCACTTGGCTCAAGAGATCCACCAAATCCCATGCCTGGAGATGTCAGGGAACGGAATGGGGAATGTGATGAGCTGCCTTCCAGATGGCTCTGCCTTCCTAAAACAAATAGATTTCAGACTGAAAGTACGGGACCAACCCAGAAGTCCTTATTTACAGCCACGTCCCAGACCATTCAAAACACAACAAAAAATTCCTGCTTCCTCAAGTGTACACAGATACTATTGATTTGGGTGTGCTATGAACATCACAGGAATAAGAACCTCACAGTTACACTAAACATTCACTGCAAATTGAGGATTGCAACAATTTAAAGTTAAAATTAGAGCAATTTTCGTTCACTATTAGTAAAAAAATTAGAAAGACAGCATGTCATATAGGACAAGGAAAAACAGTTTTGGGAACAATAAGATTTTTTGTACATATAGAAACGCTTGCAATTTTAGACTTTAGTGAAACTACTAACTTCAGAGATCATATTTTACAAGCAGAATAGACGATTCATTAATAAATATGTAAGCAAAGTATAGTGGTAGAAACAAGTCCATACTTTTTTTACTTTAAGAAATAATTGTTTGTAGTAGCCTAAAATCTCAAAGTAAGCAGTTTTCTTGCTCAAATGCATTTTTCTTTCAAAGATGTTACAGCATGAGAAAAATCTAAAAAGTTAGAATGCTGGTTAAAATCTAGTACAATTTAAATTAAGCATTGCATCTAGAGAATATCTGAGAAATATAAAAATCCTCCCCTCTGCAATATGACATAATGTAAAACTTGTCTTACCAATTAGGTAGTGTCTCTGTTAAATTTCTCACTCAACTACTTCTAAAAAACAGATGAAGATGACTGCCCCATATAGGTTTGCAACAAATATTTACAATTCCAAAGAGTAATAATCTCTTTTTTCTGTTATAAATTAACAGATTTATAAACACTGAGTGTTGTGTTTCCCATAAATGGCATAATGAGGGAGGGTTATATTCCAGTAAATACTTTATATCTTTCATGAGAAACAGGAGAACAATAAACTCTTTGCACGAGCCCTTCTGCGTTCTAACAGGATTTGGACCCACCTATCCAATCACCTATGAGAATTATTTTACAGGCAGATTCTAAGCTGCTTAGTGTTAGAAGCAGTATCCGATCCTGTTTAAATATGCCATTTTCAAAAGAGTAGATCAATATTCACTGAGGCAGGGCGGCAAGGGGAAGTAAAAGGGAGGCAGTGAGCAGCTACAGCGCATTTGTAGGGATGTTTTCAGCTCTCTAGCCCTGCAATTAGGCCATTCCTTTTAGAGGAGAGACCAGGGCCAGCACGTTCTCCAGCAACTGTGTTGTCTGATGAAAGCAGTTGTTGCTGCTGTGCCTGGTGGGGAGGCTGTTCCTATCACTCAGTCGTGGCAGTGCTCCAAAGCAAAGCCTGCTTGAGTGTTGAGTTGAGGTGGTGGAGCTGTGCCCCTGGGTCCAGCCGTAAGGGCAGCAGTTATGGCATGAGCTGAAGAACAAGGTGTTTCAAGGGCAGGTTACTGGAGGACACTTGGGGGTTTTAGGGACTTGAGCGATTCAACATAGAAGTGAAGGGTCACTGGCATTTGGTACCTAAACTCTGCCTCGGTCCTATTTTAAAATCCTTTAAAAATCTTCTACCTTTAAGAAACAGTCCCTGTCATAGTAGGGCCCAAGTAAAGACATTCTATTAAAAGGCAGAGGAACATAAGACTGGGTAGGTAAGTTAATGCCATGTCCTAGCATCATACAACCTCTTCCCCAAACATAAAAAGCTCCATTGTGCTGCCTCCAGAACTTCATTTCTCTGGTGACTAGACATTTTCTTCTAATTTCTAGTCTATATTTATTTGTGCTCAGTTCAACTGGATATATAATTCCAATTTCTAAGCATTGCGTGGAAGAAATACACTGATACTTGATACTCAAAAGCTGAATTTATATATGGATGATGGTGAAAGAGTTTAAAGGGATCCTAAAATCTTTGAATAGCTCAGATAAATCTTTTCTGCATGATATAAAACACATCTTTTATCTAGAAGAATCTTATCTGGGAGAAAAAGGAGGCTACTTAAGATGTATTTGGTTGTACATAGAGTTTTGAAAGAATTGCTTTCCTCCATATTCACTCATGAAGCCCATGCTAGTTTTTTGTGCTTGGTAACTCCTTGCTGAATGTATCTTCTCACACTGTTGGGAGTAATTTATTCCTACCAGCAAATACTATTTATGTTGTGAGTAGCCCCATGGTTTCAACAGAGCTTTTTGCACAGTAAAATACCACACAACATATGGGTAACGCTCTGCCTATACGTATTCTAAGCGTGATTTACCAGGAGAGGATTACCAGTATGCCATCCTGGCAAAACTGAACTTTTCGTCAGTTTAAGGCAAAACCGCCACTGCGAGCAAAATAAGCTGTAACAATACACATGTATCGTTACCCAGTTGCATCACTGATAGGATTTTTTGCCAGTACAATGTTGCCACAGTTCTAAGCCTGGACAATAGGCAGCTGAGAAGTCAGCAGTTGAAATAAAGACTGTTGTTCCCCTAATAGACAAGCTTTTTGGATGCAGGTATAACTGCAAAACTGAGCAGTGACATGTAGTCCAGGTTCTCACCAATCTATTGGCCAGAGATCCTGTTAGTCTTGGGTGGATGGAGGTGGAGCCTGCAGAGGCAGACACATCTTCCCCTGCTTCCAAATATTCACAGGAGCTCTGTTATGAACTTCTATCATTTTGCAGTTCTTTGTTTGGAGCTGGCAACACTTCCACTGCAGTGGCTGCTTTTCCTCTCCCCGAAGTAATGCTACGTTCCTTGTCTACGAGATGAGTCTGGTTTAGGAAGCCTTCAGTCAGAGTGGCGCCGCTTAGTATCTTGTATTTGGGCTTGTTCAGAGTCCCTATGCTAATTACAGTTCCTTCCAATTATGAGGTCCTTTTAACCTACAATAATTTGTGCTTGTCTAGGTAACGCCACCGTTTCACATGCCATGCTGGTGTGTAGCACAGCCACACAGCTCAGCCTCAATTGACTATATTTTGGGCATGATCCCAGGAACAGGAGATCAGATTCTAGGAATGAAGCTGGTGATGTGATTAAGTGTCTCTGTACCAGGATCCCAGTGAGAGAGATTTAAAACTGTGGTCCTTGCCATTCATCAAATAAGGGCCTCTCCCAGTAGTAACCAAGCCTGTGAATTTCTATCACCACCCAGTTGCTACCCATTTGGTTTCTCATAGGTAGACACAGGATATTTACCTTTGGCTTGATGTAGCTGCTTGAGATCAGTCAGAAATTCTGTCCTATCTGGACTCTGATGAGAAGAATTAAGGTAAAAAGTATTAATTCAGCAAAATATTTGGGGCTGGGTATCATATTAGCTGAACATGATCTAACTCTTACCACATTTCTTAGACTAAAAGTACAAATGTACCAAGAATAATGCAAGAGATACATAGAGATAAATTGCAAGGATCTGTATTTTTTTTTTACAAAATACCACAATGAATTTACTCAGAAATATAAACTACTGTGTTCTAACAGTTATAAAAGAGTTCTTTATACAATCTCTTGAACATACTTAGTTTGTCAGGTAGGTGATTCATCGAGGTGCCTGCTGCTTCTCACACTCAAAGGGTGCTTATTATAATTGAAATCAGCTGGCTACAAACATCTTGATGGCTCCATACCCACACTGTTTGCCTGACCTGTTTGCCTAAAGAACTAGGCTTATGCAATTATTTATACTGCATCAGGAGGATTCCTGATGGGAAAGCATCTTTGAAATGTATATATTCCAGCACCTCATCTGGGGTGGGTTGAGTAGGTTATTCTGCTTAGTAATACCAGATGGAGAAAGCAGAAAACTGTAGGATTTCCTAATATAGGGCTGAAATATCTCCTCTATATTTTCAACTTCATAGTCAAGCATAGTCTAATTGTCCTTGAACTGCATAGTTAAATGGTTAATTGTTTGTTGGTAGGACATCTTAGTGTGGAAGCCTTTATAGCGAATGTGAAGATGATGAAACACTGGAATAATGTGTCCGGAGAAGTACTAGGAGTTTTCAATAACAGGTTAAACAAACATCCATCAGGAATGAGGGAAACAGAATAAAATATATTTTGTTCCAGGGGATGGAGTAAATGACCTTTTAAAGTCCCTCCTAGCCTTGTTTCCTACGATTCTTTGACTGATAGCAAAGGACTATTTTTATTCTTAATAATTTATCTGACCTGCTTTTTTACATGTAAGCATTCAAGAAATGGAGCACGTGCTGGTTGAAGTTTGTCTACTCCCCATGAAGCCAGCAGGTGTCATCAGAACCTTTATTTCCCAAGTGGGAAGAAGTACAATTTTGTATGCTTTGGACTTCTGCCCTTCTCTGTGTCTTACGCAGTTTGTATTTTGAGGCAGCAGTCCAGCAAGCAGGAGAAAACAAACCTGAACAACCATCACTGCAAGATATTTTTGTCCTTCTGGGAAGGCATCTCAGAATTTTTCCAGCTGATGTGAAATGCAAATACATTTCTATCTAAAGTTCCTAAAAGAATCAATTTTAAAGGTAGGAATTGCAAAGCATCTTAGGGGTCAGTATTTCTAGGGGGAAAAAGAAGTCATAATTTTATCTGCAAAGTTGCAAAAAATATTTGTATCAATGACTTCTGATCATGTGAACTTGGACCATGATGTACTTTCCTGCTATTCCTTATCCAAATTCCATGTTTACATGCACTGTGCATGGATCTTCTTACCATTGCAGTAATCAAGTTGAGTTCCTGTGATTTGCACTCTTTGACTGTCTGGCCTGAAGCAATTAGCCAGCGTAACCAAGAAATCCGTGCCCTTTGGCCTCTGTAAAAAAGAGGCAAAAGATGCTCTCCTGCACTTGTGAAATATGCTGTAATTTACAGAGTCAAAGTACCAAACGTGTGCAAGCTGGCGTTAGCCACACTGGTCAGAATGGAGAGCAAACAGCTGGCTTTTTTGTTTTGCCTTTTTTTTTGGGGGGGGGGGGGGGGGG